ATTGATGATGCTATTTGACAAAACGTTAGATAGTAACAATGCCCGTTTATAGTATAGTAGCACAATTCCAGAAAAATATCAGTTGATAAATGACTGATAGGGTTCTAAAAATAATGTTAAATTGCTCTATATCCACTTAACAAAAAGGTTTTTTTTTTTAACAAAACTATTACAATAGTTTAATTGGTACGTAGTTTATTACTTTGATTTCATTATTCTAAAACAAATTTAAATTTAGTTACGAAAAACGTCGATAACTGTTTAAAACATTGTTATTGTCCAAAACATCAATGCAATCAAAAAAATATCGGTCGCTTGTTGCTCATTCTTTTACGTCACGCCTAGGAATAGTCGGTAGACTCTTCGCTCATGTGAACTGGTTGTGTCGCCGGGCGGAGGGGAATGCAGTCAATGTCAATCAGCTAGATGTAAAACCTGCCTAAAGTACAAGCATTGGTACTAGTATAAGTAACCCTGGGTCTTGGACCATTACCTTACAAAACTTGCCACTGGCCTGGGTAAACACTATAAAATTTCAACAACACAATTGTTTAAACGAGGTAGAGAATGAGTGAGAAGAGTCACAGCCTTTGTAGGGTTTCAGTGCTTAAAATTAACTTTTACTTTCAAAATATCAGATAATAGAGACTATAGAGTCTTACTATAACTAATTAATATAGATTTATTATTATTATTTTTATATGACCAAGTTAATCACATTTTATAAATACATTTTTGGTTTTTTTAACCCAGATAGGCTAATAGGCTATTAGTTTTTATAAATGGTACTTCATTGCTACATCACAGTTGATAGTTTTCAACTTAAGTACAGAGGCAAAGCAAATAATCACATGAACTTGGAGCTATAAGAATGAATGCAACCCTTCAAGAAGCAAAATGCTTATGGGGAATAGTCAGACTGGAATTTTGCCACCGAAATGAGCTTCGTGCGGGCCACCACGCACTTTATCTCTCTCTCTCTCTCTCTCTAAGCCGATTGTTTGTCTCACTTTTTCTCACTCAATCAGCTGACTTGGCCGCTCACTCGTGATAGTCTACCTGGCGGCCGCCGCAGGAACTATCCAAAATTCAAATATTCCCAGACTGAATTTTTTATATTGCACTTCTTATTTGTTGTTTTCATTGACTATAAATAGACTGCCAGGGATTATTATTACTTATGATTTCTAACAGATTACTATGCATTTTTAGTTTAACTTGAGTTATTTTGATATTCTCAATAAAACTTACAGTAATAAGCAAAACTTGCGTTATTTTAATATTGTCAATATAACTTACAGTAGTAAGCAAAATTTTAGAATATGTGATTTTTTTTTTAATACAAAAGGTAGCCTAGTAGATTAAGCAAACCGGTTATAGTTACAAGAACAATGTGGTAATTTTTACTGAAGAACACTATGCAAACTTATGTAGAACTAATATAAAGAATTGCATGAATAGCTGTATTGAAAATTATACCATCGTCAGGTCGTGATAGCAATAAACAACAAGAGTAGACCAATTTTTAATCACATTTGTCTGCAACCTGTTACACTAACTACAACATATACCTAGTCAGCGTACATTAACAGCAGTTTATGGACAGGTTATTGTACCTTTTTCAGTTTAATAACTAAAACCAATTTTCGTTACTAGTTCTCCAAAGATTTTACTATTTGAAAATCAACAGTAAAAAAATAAAAAATTGTAACACATATTTCCAAATAAAAATTTTACACCCTTTACTTTGAATAAAATTTTCCTCTTCAAATTCTGTACTAAACCATATAGTTTTTTTATAGGTTAGAATGTGAAGTGTGTGAGTCACCAAGAGATATTTTCACACCGACTCAGTGGTTTTATTCACCTGAATACAACATGAACCAAAGTGTTTGCAATAACCGATTCCCCAACTATATTCTTGAGAAACGACAGCCTGTATATATAAATGTGGAGAATACTAGAGGAGGCTTGTATATGTGCAGGAAAGGGGATCACTCAGCAAGACCTTATGTTGTAAATATTTTCAGCAAAGAAAGTACCAGGACGGTAATAAATTCAATGATAAATTTTATTATTAATAAAATAATAAATTATTTCAACCACAGGTGGTTTTGGGATTTTTATTCCGTTTCTTCCATCATGATTGTACTAATTTAAAGACATTTCCACATTTTTTAAAGTCAGTTTAAACTCATAGTAAACCTGTTGTGTTGTAGAATGAAACTATTTCTTGAATTTAATTTAATTAAGACAGAATCTAGATTCTTTAAATTGCCCATTAAAATAAAACAAAGATGGGCCAAAGATTTTAATTTAGCAGAAAGTGATCAAACATACATGGATCTTGGTCTTTAGTAAAATGGATATATCATAAAAACAAACAAAAACATGGTATTAATCTCAACTAAAGTGGGGACCACATAGGTTTGCAGTTGGTGGCAGCCAATCACAAGACAAGGCTAGTGCGACGTTGCCACATCGCCAATGACAACACTAATTAAAATATACAAAGCAATATTTTCAAATCAGCTGGTATTATTAGATTTGGCAACACCGCACAGTTCTCATTGGTCCATTCAAAACCATATGGTAAATAGGCTCCTCCCTCAACTGCAAACTTATGTGGTCCCCACTTTAGTGTACCTGGTGCCAATGTAACAGTTGTGAAGTATTACAGGCGTTAATTTAAATGAATAACAGTCATAATTTCTGATTACTTTAAAAATGTAGATTGAAAGAAAGATTATTGAAATACTCACGATGTACCTAAATAACAGTTCGATATAATCAACATTTCTTGTAAATATCTTATCATTTTTAAAAAGCTGATCTTGTTTTTTAGTGTTTTCTACACATGTTTTC